GTTTTTTTAACTCTTTTTCTGTTCTGCTCGGTACCTCTGAGGGACCGAGCAGAACAGCCGAGCCGAATGCCGCTCAGCGTCATTCGGCTATTCACTCACTGCTGCTCGGCATCTATAGATAGACCGAACAGCAGCGAGTAGCCTGCCGGAGGTTCGGCTTAGCCGATCCAGATGTTGGATCGGCTGAGCTGAACTCCTTCTGCACTTCGGGTCGAGCATGTTCGGCCAACCTGAAGCCACGCAAAGCCACCCGATGTACGGCTGATTTCAGCCTGAAGCCGTACCAGCCTGAAGTGAATAGCCGAACAGCGTGCGGCTCACTTCGCTTCAGGTCGGTCATTCACTCGGCTGCCTACGGCAGCTTAGTGAATAGGCCCCTATATTTTTCAGAATTTCGCACAGTGTTATAGTACACCTGTTGTTAGTCTATATGCTTCTAAATTGGTAATAAAAGGGCCCGTTCACACCACAGTATTATGATACCAGCAAGGCACATTACATATGTTGATGTGTTGCAGTGCCATTTGGCAATCAACTTTGATAATAGGTGAAAGCACATTTTCTCTCTTAAAGTATTTGTATAGGCCAAATTTACCTTGGTACTGCCTTCTACATCTCTAGAGCATGTCCCAACGTTAATGTTTTCCTTTAACTTGCTCCTGTAGTGAGATACAGCTTTTATTGCTCCATGTGATGTCATCACCAGACTTGCAAAGTTCTTGCAGGGGCAGCTGCTGGAAGCTCAGTTTCTATTGATGTAGGCATGCCAGCAGAACTACAGCTGCATAGAGCCCTTTCCCTACACAGTGTGTGGGCAAGCTCATGGGAGTACAAGCAGCACCCTCATTTGCATGTATGCATGTGTATGTATGTGACAGAGATGGGTGGGAGGTAGGTGGAGTTTTGTAGTCTAGCATGCAGGGCTTACAGCTCTGCCTGGAACTTTAGTGCAGAAGAGGCACTGATGTTGATTTACTAAAGGCAAATAGGCTGTTCACTTTACAAGGAAATTTGCACTTGACTGCAGAAGTTTCCATTTAGCTTAGTGAATGAGGTGAAGCTCTGCTGGCTTATATCACCCAATCATGTGCAAGCATATATACTGTTTTTTTTATTTTCCTTGCACATGATTGGGTGTTCTTGGCAAAGTAAAATATCACCAAGCTAAGGGGAAACTTTTCTTGCAGTGTGCAAATTCCCTTGCAAAGTGAACAGCCCATTTGCCTTTAGTAAATCAACGTCAGAAAGTTAGGAACACACTGGATTTCTGGTACATCAGCTTGTATTTTTCCGTACTTGCAGTGTTAAAGAAATATAACATGGGGAATGTGCATTTACAGAGATGTTTTTTGCCTTGACACGTGCTTTCAATGTTTAGATATCATTCTATTAGGACACTTTTATGTATTGTAAAATATAAATGTATTGTCTCTAGGTTTTTAGTTTTCTAGTTTCTTGTTTTAGGACAAATTATTTGCAGACAAGGGACTCAGAAACCATGTTACAAAGTCATTTATTTTCATGATACATCAAGAAGACTGACGTTTCAGGAAGCTCAGGATGAATGTAGACGGGATGGTGGTTACCTGATAATTATCAAGTCTGAAGCAGAGCAGAAATTTATACAGAAGCTCATTCAAAGCATCACTGGTTCCGATGGTGACTTTTGGTTGGGTCTAAGGAGAATTGATGATGACTCCCCAAACTCCAGCGACTGCCAGAGTCTGTACACTTGGGTTGATGGCAGCAAACCCACTTTTTGGTGAGTACTTTTGTAGACAATATGACTGCTGTGAGCCTACCCTTTAATAAACAGGGGGCTAGGTTATTTTTTTTTACAAAGTGTAAAAAAAATTAAATAAAGTGTAAAACAAAATTAGGAAAATAAAAATGATATATAAATATATATTTGTATACTATAATTAATATAAAAAAATTCTAAAAAAATTATAATAATAATCAAAACTTGTTAAAAAAAGTGTTTTCTTCTAGTTTTTTTCCTCTTTTTTTATTATATTCAAACTAAGTGAGGGGTTAGGTACACATATGTGATATAATTATATAGCCCTATCTGTCCTCTAAAAAACAATATATAATATGTGTGGGTACATTTAGTAAGAAAGTATATTACTACTGTGGAAGAATCACACAGCAAAAATGTAAAAAGTGGGTCAGTCATTTATGAACAGAAACTGAAAACTAGCTCAGTCATGAAGGGCTTTTGTGACTCAGCAAACCAGAGGCTAAAACTATGTACTGCATTATAAGTTTTTCTGACTCCAGTTGTTGAAATAGTGATTTAGGACAGTGGTGGAGCACCAGGGCCCTGTTATAGCTGCAACTGCTGCAACCCTGGTAGTTCTCATGAAAATGCCAAGTATCATCAATGGTATCTGAACATCCCTACCTTTTATCCATGAAGATCTTTATTGGATGCAGCAGGTTACTGGCAAGCAATAGAATGTAGCAGATGGTTGAAATTTACAGGTCAAGAAAGGGTAATGCCTTCCTCCTCATGTGCACATGTGGTCAGAAAATGGCTGAATCAAACACATAGGAAGAAGTATGTGTCACGTTATACAAGGGGAGGAAGTAAAGAAAAAAGGTGCAGTGAACAAAATAACCACAAAATGGCAGCATACCAAATATTAATGCATTGAATACAATTGCTGTGGCAGCATATGAAACATTAACTATACTATAAGAATACGCAAGAACATTCCAATTCAATGCATTGACTATACAAGAGCTGTGACAGCACATAAGTGGCTCTTGACTTTTGGCTGCAAAACTGACACCTTTTTTGCCAAAAGTTTATGATTGACGAACTTCTCGGAACCTGGGGGTTCAACACAAACCCAATCCTCATCTCTAGATGCCACCAGTTAAAATCAGGAATCTGGGTTTACTCAAATGGTGCTTGTAGGACCTACCATAGAATTACCATATGTGTAGAGTTTGCACAAATTATTGCAAAATGTAACATCCAACTTTGTAAGACATTTGTTTATACTGTTAGAAACAAAACCAATGTGGATATTTTAAAAGGGAGCTACATTTTTCATATTTACTTGCAAATCTTTATATAAAAAGCTGCCCATACACATACAGATCATGGCACCAAAAGCCTCACAGCAGCAAGTGGCCTGAACTGCTGCACATTTTACCTTTGGCAGTGGATTTTGCAATTCACATATTGCACAGAAGCTAATGGAAGTGATGTGACCTGAACAGATATCTACCTCAAAGGTTGTCAGAAGCCCATATACAGTCCTATTATACGCAGAGATTGACTTATGTCTGCAGATGATCTGCTCTTGTATGGTGTCAGGTATTCCACTGCAGGAATTATGTGCAAATGACAAGTGACCAGAACTACAGGAGCTCCCACTACCTACTTTTGGCTTCTGTGTAATTTTTAAGGATGCACCGATACCGATATCGAGTATTTGGACGAGTACTCGTACTAACCCAAATGCTCCAATACCTACCTCTGATAACGTAACTTCCAGTGCCGAGGGAGCATTGAGCCAGTTTCCTTTCCAATCAGGAAGCTGGGCGGTGGGTTATAACCCGCCTCCTGGCCCCCAGAATTGGCTAGGAAGCCGGTTTCACTCATTGCTAGGTAGCCTGGCTTCCTAGCTAATCAGAAAGCCGGGTGGTACATCATGACCCACCGCCCGGCTTCCTGATTGGTCATGAAGCCAAGCAGCCTCGGGAAGTAAAGCCGGCGTTCTTTTGATAGAACACCAGCTTCCTAGGCAATCAGGAAGCTGGGCGGCAGGTCACGATCATGATAATCAGGGCACACGGCACCGGTAAAAACACGTGTACTGAAAAAAATATCGGTACTCGTACTCCACACCGAAAAACAGGTATCGGTGCATCCCTAGTAATTTTTGTAGCATCAAACTTCACTACTATGCTGAATGAGCAGGCTCCACAGGTTGACCTACACCGGGCATCTATAATCCTGCTCATACGGGGCCAGGCTTAAGACCTCGTCTTAAAAGGAGGTTACAGTGCCTTAAACCTCACATCAGGGTTGGAGTGCAGGAAAAGACTGGAGATGTGTAAGGCAAGGCAGGACTGGGATCCAGCCAGGATAGGACATCACTATGGAATTGTAGGGCAGTGCAGAGCTGAAACTTAGCAGTACAAGACATGCCTGGGACTTGTATACATCTTCATACCAAAACCTACAATCTGCAGGAAATTTATATTAAACATATACGGTAGGGAGAAGGGCATACTACCTGTGCTTAAAAACCCCTCTATACATATTGGGCCTTCTGTAAATAATTCATAGATCAGTGTGCAAAGTGTAGAATCCATGAACAACAACCTGTAATTCCTCTTTCATTGCTCTGATGGTTATAAAACTGATGAAAGATAAAGAGTTTATTGGTTATTTTAACTGAAATTAAAATATTTTCAAATTAATTCCTGGGCATTGTTATATAGCATAATGTTGTAAACTCTTCTCCTGGAAAAGTAGGCGGTCTGAACGTCGTAAACTATATAACAAGAAAACTTTTGTTTTAATACATTAGTGTTTTACTAGTTTTGATAAATGATTTCCAGCCTTTAAACCCCGCTTTGCACCAACTATAATATATTGTAGCAGTAAATGCAAGATTGATTTAATGTAAGTTTGTATTTAACTAGGATGATTGCCAAACCATAGCTGCAGTGCTATTAATGGATCACACTGGAGTGAACTGTATCAAATATGTCTCTGAGCTTCTTCATTATTGAGATAGTGATGAATTTATGTAGATAAACATTTTGGAACATTTATTTGTTTAAGTAGAACATATGCAAAAATAGAGAGATCAGTTCATTAGTCTAAATCCAACCAATATAGATTAATTAGACATATAATGTACAAAAAAAAACCCAACAGATTTTATTTTTATTTTTTATTTTTATTCCTGAACAAATACAACAAGACATTGAGTACAAAGCATCACTACTGCAGACCACAGTTTACAGTATATGTTACAAGACTGATAATGAAATATGTGCACAGGGAGTACAATTGCTTCTTAGAAAAAAAAATATAAAGATTAAAAATATATTTCTGTAAAGGTTCAGATAATAATTGTGCGTGATAGCTTGTTCCTGGAAGTCTGAACCTCTTTTATATTCACACTGACACAAGGATTCCTCTTTATCTCCCATAGGAATGAAAACTGTTATGGATATAATAGCAACCAACTTAGACAAGTGTCTGATCCAAACAGTAAGCAGGTCAGATTGTTCAGGGCTGTCAACCTTGAAGTGTGTGTGTGTGTGTGTGTGGAGAAGGCAGGCTTGTATGGCAGATTCCCTCTTTTTAATTTTAGCTAGCTGACTGTAGTTTATGGATTCAAAGCTGAACTCCAGGCAGCTATACTCCAGGCAGCTATGCAAGACACAAATAAGCCAGCTCTGTATTTATAACACAGTGTTTGATTTATTTATTTATTTATTTTTGCAAGCATTTTAAGTACCCGAATTTAAGTTGGTATTAGCTTATTGCACTCCTTTGTACAGCACAGCTCCAACTGAGAGAGAAAATCAGAATTCTGCAGTGCTCAAGTGCTAACAAGGAATTTGCTGATGGGAGCAGAGAGCTGAGTGACTGAGAGATGATTAACTTATCAGTCTGCTGCTTCTTTTTACACTGTCCAGTCACAGGCTGGGGGTGTTAGTGGAAGTCAGGTATGGTGCCCTGCCTGGCAGAGCTGTACTGTGTGCAATAACTGTGCAAATCTTAGAACATAATGGATACAAATACAAACCCTTTAGCAAGTAGAACAGCTCCCATATACAGTATGTACTGCATCTGTGTATGTAGCTGTTGTTTTGTCGTGCAGCTGTAAAGTGTATATCATTTAAATTTGTTATGTACAAAATAACAGCCTACAATTCCTACAGCAGAAACCATACCGCTTATCCTGCTTAAGGATACTTGTGTCCCTATTGGATAGTCCACTTTACTAGTACGGTTCTGAAATATATGACAGTCAACACAGCATAAGAAAGTGAAGGAGATCTAGAAGAGCCGCTGACTTTTATTGTTATTAATAACCTAAAAAGCTTAATTTTAAAGTAAAAGGTAGACAAATCATAGAAACATATTTAAGAGAACCTGTGATGTTTTGCATACTACAGGAACTGGTATGTGGATGAGCCATCATGTGGGAGTGAGGTGTGTGTTGTCATGTACTATCAGCCATTGGCTTCTCCCGGTGTTGGTGGGCCATATATGTTTCAGTGGAATGATGACCGATGTAACATGAAGAACAACTTCATATGTAAATATTCAGAAGGTAAGTGCTTTCTGTCTTTAACCACTTCAAGATATTAAATGTAGGAAATATGCCCCCAAACAAATTACGTTTCTAGGACATATCTCCTATGATCACTGCTCCCTCTACAGCTGCCCACCCACCCTTATTGCCGGCAATTAGTGGTTGTCAAAATGGCAGCTTGGGATTGCTGGCAGTCAAAATGTAGCCAATATAGCATAACAATGAATTGTTACATTGTAGTTACCATTTCATTCATATGCAGATCAAAGGTCACACCTTTGATGTAAAATGAAGAAACCTTACAAGTAAACATAAATAAATAAAATGTTTCCTATTTATTCCCTTATGAACCCTTATTAACTAGATCCTTCGGCAGCTTTGTGAATAGACCCCTTAGTTCATCATAATCAGTCTGAGGTAACTGGATCTGAACCCAGGGCCTCTGCTGTAGCTGGCAGTGGTTGTACCTGCTGAGCCACCTTAGAACCTTGCCTGGATAGCTCCTTGCCTGATCTCCTGTGTAATCCTCAGTTAAACCTAGTTGCTGCTGAACTCCTTGCTCCTCCCTTGAACTTCCTATTTAAGCCATGCCTCTGCACTTCCTGTTTGCCAGATTATTGTGCTCCTGCCAATATCTTGCTTCCTGCTCCCTCTGTGATACAATCTGCTCATACTGCTACCCGTGTACGGACCTTTGGCTGCTGATTCACTGATGCTCTCATCATCTTCTGCTTCATACCTGATACCTTTGGCTACTGACCTCGGCTTGTTCGTTGACTACGCTTCTACCTGCTCCTCTACTTCTACCGTTTGCTTGTGTACCAAACCTGGCCTGTTATACCACGAATTTGCCTGCTGTTTCAGCTACTGGACTCTGAGCCTGATCCCAGAACGTGACAGTAACTCTTTCCCCCACTTTTCCCCTTAGCTTACTTTTGTTTGGTTTGCTGATTTTTTTTTTTTCTATTTTTTGACTATTTAATAATTTATTTATTTGTTGTGTTTGTTTTTTTACTATCACAAAACTCAAGATTTCAAAAAAGACTTTTTTAATTTGCAAATTACGATGATAATTTAAAATAAAATGTATATTGTTATTTACAGCAAAACTAGTAACACTGGCCAAAATGGAAAAAAATGTTTTTTTTTTGTCTATAGATTACATACAAGAGATAATTTTTGCTAGACAATATTGGCAAAAGAAAGCATAGCTTGTCCTACATACTGTACATGTTTTCTTAAGTAATGGCAACGTTATCACCGAATAAAAAAGTAAATATTTCTCTTGTCTATAATAAATATAAGAATGTGTGACCTGAAGTGGTTAAACCACTATAAATATTATATAAGTACCTGTAGTATATTAACCCTACAGTGTCTGTATTATTCATTTTATAGAAAAGACAGCTCGTCCTCCCATGAAAAACACATCATCATCAGTTATTGGTGAGTGCTTTACTATAATTGTATAATGTTATTTTAATATTTTTTTTTTTTTATATCAAACCAAAATAATAAAAAAAAATTAAAAAAATGGTTTTCTAATGTTTTTCCTTTTTAATCTTTTTTTTTTTCTAAAAGCACCATAGTCATCTACCAGCCCAGGGCAGCAGGCATGCTGGCAGGTATACTCATGATTAGGGGGCAGTGATCGTGCTTCCCATTACCATGCTGATACCAGCCAAACAGATGTACAATAGTCTTCAGTGGTTACTGGAGCTGCCAGCTTAGAGAACCAGGCACTGACACCAGAGAATCCCTTATAGTGTTTAATCTTCAGAGATTAGCATCAATGGCAGGAGACTGCAGCACAATAAACATTGAGGGACATTTATCAATACTTGTAGAGTAGAGAAAGCAGGGTTAGGGCTTGTACACACCATATACAGTGCATTCCAGAGTGGTTAGCTGCTGGAATGCACTGTATCGCAGAGTAAGCTCTCCCGTGCGTTCTGGGGCGGGAAGGGGCGGTTGTGGTGCATTGAAGTCAATGGCACC